GGCGAGCCCGGGCGGCGGGCACGGCGCGGCGCGGCGGGGCACGGCGGCGGCGGCTCCCCCGGCGCGGGCACGTACCGGCGGGGCCGCCGCTTTTTGGGGGGCGGCGGCGGGGGCTCGGGGCTCGCTCGGCGGGGCCGGGGCGGGGGAGCGGCGGTTGAACGGCGGCCAGCTCTGCAGCGCTGGCCCCGGGCGTGGACGCGCTCCAGTCCCCGCAGAGACGATCGCGCTTTCCCCCGCCTCCATGGCGCTGCGTTCGCTCTTCCAATCAGCCGGGCTGAGCGCGGCCGGGATCCGCCGGGATCTCCCCGCCAGCCCCGCCGCCCCGCCGCCGCTTTCCGCCGGGTTTTTTATTGCTCTTTGCTTTTGCAACACTGTGGTGAGAAGAAAAAGAGGAGGAGGAGGAGGAGGAAGGAGAAGAGGAGGGAAAGGGGGGGGGGGGGGGGGGGGGGAAGGGAGGAAGAAAAAAAAAATTAAAAAAAAAAATCTCCTTACATGTGCAACAATCCTCGGCCGGCGTTTGCATAAAGAAAAAATAATTTAAAAAAAAAAAGAGAGAGGAGAAAAAAAAAAAAAGCGGGGGGGGGGAGGGAGGGGGAGCGGGGGGGGGGCCGAGCCGGGCCCCCACGGCACGGCGGGGCCGCGCTCCTGCCCGCCCCGCGGCCCCGGGACACGGCGGCGGGGGGGGGCTCTGCCCGGCGGGGCGGGCGAGGGGCAGCTTCCTCCCCTCCTCCCTCCCTCCGCTCCCTTTCTCTCCTCTCTCCCTTCCCTCTCTCTCTCTCTCTCTTAATTTTTTTTAATGGAATTTCTCCAACTCCACCTTTGTTGTGCTGGGCGTCATTCCCCGCAGCCAATCCCGGCCGGGCAGTGCCTGCACATTCCCGGCCATCCCGGCTGCCTGCACAGTACGGGCCATCCCGGGCTGCTTCCGTGCCACCGGCCGCCGCCACGCTACCGAACAACCCCCCCACGGCACCGGGTAACCCGGGTTGCCTCCCCGGCCGCCTCCACTTCCATGGTACCGATCACCCCCGGCCACCGCCGCGGCAGCGGCTGCCTCCATGGCACCGGCTGCTTCCGCGCTCCCGGCTGCCTCCACGGCGCCGGCCACCCCGACAGTCCCGGCCTGTCCAGCCGCTGCCACGGTACCGAACATCCCACGGTACCGGGTACCCCGGGCTGCCTTCACAGCGCCGGCTGCCACCGCGGCACCGGCTGCTTCCACGGCACCGGCTGCTTCCACGGCACCGGCT